CGGGCGCAGCTGGACGCGGAGCTCCTGCGCTACTCCGAGAGGTGCGGCCGCGGGGCCGCCGCGGGCTGAGGGGGCCGGCTCGGCCTGGCAGCTAACCGTGCCCCCCTCCTCCTTGTCCTTCCAGCCTGCAGGGTGTGCCGGTGGCTTACGACAACATCAAAGTGGTGGGGGAGCTCGGCGACATCTACGACGACCAGGGATTCATCCACCTGAACATCGAGGCGGACTTCATCATCTTCAGCCCCAAGAAGGGGAAGAAGCTGGTGGTATGCGAACGCCTTGGCGTCTCACGGGACGGGCTTTTTTTATTAAGTGGTCAAAGCTTGGCTTATCTCCAGCATCAGGTGGTTAGCTGAAGACATAGTTTATGTCAGCTTATTCATGTATGAGTAGTTCATAGAAATTTATTAGTATCTTGTACTAGTACTTTTTACTGTAATCTGTCTGTTTTGTCCATCCCTAGGTTTCCTGAATTTACATATAATTCTATATTACTAAACCATCGTATCATAAGGATTGCGTATTTAGTAGTGTGTCACAACCACATATATCATACCCATGCTTCTTTCTGAAGAGCAGATAATTGTCAAAGAGGTGCATTTTTTATAGTGACAGGAATGTTGAGGATGCTCTCGAGTGTTGGGTTCCTTCAAGCACAAGAGCAGTACATGGAGTTGGAGCCTGCCTTTCAGAAAAGGAGGCTTATGGCCCACAGAACGGCTTTAGGCTTGTCAAAACCCTTGCTTAGCACTTATGGGTAAAGTAGGTTGGGAGCTGGCTTGCATTCATTGCTGTGCCATACCTTCTGCAGCACAGCTGGGTGTCTTGATAGTTGTGTTTGAGGATGAATGTGCCATCTTCCTAGGAAGAGAATAGAAAAATTTTCAGTGTCCATCATTAATTCTATGGGTAAAACAAAGGTGGATATGGTTTCATATTCAGGTGTGTCAGAAACCCACTGAATAGAGTATTTAGAAGCTTTTTATATGTCTTCCCTATTCTTCAGCTGCTAAAAACTGCTGTGCCAGCTTGAAGAGCATTTTAGGCAAGCAAGTCAGACTTCAAATGGCTTCAAAGCAAAGCTGATCATTGTAGTGTAAGGAAAGAGTTATCTACTCTCTTTAGGTATTCGCTGTAGCTAAAGGCCATGTTTTGACTTCTCTTGCAGTTCTGTTTTCAGAGGAATTGTGTGAAGAGTTTACAGGAATAGCTTTGATTTTAGTGAAGGAGCATTTACTTATTGCTAGATAAACTGACTTCATAACTTGTACATAAACTGTTACTGAAAATGTTCCATATAGGAAACGAAATATTTAAATGATGTGCACTGAAAAGGCTGATTTTTGCTTTAGATTTGCATGACATTCTTTTTCTTTTTTAGGGTGTAATTAATAAAGTGGCCCCTAGTCATATTGGCTGCCTGATACATGGATGCTTCAATGCATCTATCCCTAAGCCTGAACAAATGTCCATTGTACAGTGGCAAGAGCTGGGGTTAAAAATAGGGGATGAGCTGAAATTTCAAGTGTTGCACTTGGATTCTGATGCAGCTGGGGTGTTCTTCATTCGAGGAGGACTCACTAAAAGCAGGTATGGTGCCTTAATAGAGAATATTTTTAATTGATTTAATATATTTTTTATGAGCTAAGTGATTTTAATTACATCTTAATCTTTCAGCTTTCTTATTTTTACATAAATCCCTATGTAACTATATACATATATATATATATATATATATAAATATAATACATGCTCAAAGAACACACCCATGTGTCTAAGAGTAGCTTTGTGCATAGGCTTTTCAAGTGCAAACAGTCCAGGGTTCCTGCACAAAGTGGTTACATTGACAGTTACACACAAACGCCTGCATGTGCATTGTGTAATGACAAATACATGACTTAAATACTTGCTGAAACATGAGAATTTCAAAGATGAGAAAATGTGTCAACTTCCTCCTTAGGCCTCTCTAAATTTATAGGGCACCTTGCAGGAAATCTTGTCTTCAGAGGAGTTCATTCACAGTTTTCTTTTAAAACAGTCATGTACTGAGCAAGGATTTTCTTTGAACATGGTTTTAGTTTTGATTAAATGTATAATATGAGTCCTATTGGCAAATTCATAGCATTTTTTGTTTGTTTCTTTTTTTTTTTAATCTGGAAGGATGCTCTGGATGATTTCAGTGAATTTACAATTTGGTTAGCAATTTTGTCTTCAGTGCCTCTGGGGACATAAAAACCTCCATGGTTTTTAAATGCATTCTTTCCATATTTGTCTTCTTAGACATTTTTTTCCCAGTGCTCTTGGTTGCAAGGTACCTGCTGGTGGGAGGGGAGGGATTTGGTGGGGTTTTTTTTTGTGGAGGTTTTTCCTTTTTTTTTTTTTTAACTTTTCTGGCATCACCTTTGTTTTAATTAGAGTAGGGTAATTGCTTGGTAAAATCAGCAGCGTGCCTCACATATAACTGAACAGGCCACTAGCTGTGTGTTTTTGTGAATGACTTAAAAAAAACCCAGAAAAGCTTTACTACACAATGTGTAATTATGAATTAGAGGACGAAGAAGCACAAGAAAAGAGGAAATACCAAATGGTCTGTATGTCACTTTAGAGAAGAAATTTAGGCTAAGATTTGAAAGAGAACATTTATTATGTGGTAAGAAGGAAGCTGGTAAGGTAACAGAAATTATCCTGAGAGTATTAAGCATTATGATGCTCTGTAACACAGAGTATCATGTTCTCCATTTGTTGTTTTTAGCAAATGTTTACCTGCTTGGTGTAAATACATGTTTTAGCAATTTTTGACATCTCACTATGTGAGGTGCCCTAACATGTCTCTAATCCAGTTTATTTTGTATATTTCTTTACAGCATGCGGCCCAAAAAATCCAACACAGTCACTGAAAGTACAAACGGGGACGAAATTCAAAAGTTTGACCACCAGGAAAATGGCTTGAATAACTGTGGGGAAGATAATGTCAATGAAGAGCCTTTAAATGAGGCGGGTAACCCTGGGAGGGAAAATGAAGAGCAAAGTGTTGTTGTGAATGGATCATGTGATGATAAAAAGAAGAAGAAGAAAAAGAAAAAGGACAAGCAAGGAGAACAGGAACTTGTGTTGCCTACCAGTGATTCCAGCGGTTACCAAAGTGACCATAAAAAATCAAAGAAAAAGAAAAGAAAGCATTGTGATGAAATTGAAGAAAGTGAATTATCTCAGCTGTCAGAAAAACCCAAAGCAAAAAGGAAAAGGGACTAAAGTCTAAAATGCTTTTCCTGCATTAGATTTCAGACGTTTTTGATAAGTTTCAATAAAACCCTGTTTCCAAAATGTGTATCTCTTTTTCTTCACTACACAGTCTGCTCTGCCAGGTCAGATGGTGTTTGTGTGTGTATGTTCACCAGCAGTTTGAAAGGCAGGATCTTTTAAGGTAGTAACACAAGAAATGCAATAGAAGCTATATCTGCCTGGCTTCTTTACTAGAAAACAAGTCACAAAACTGGAATGTAATTACAGGAACACATGCATGACCTCTGTGTCCGATTTCCAGTTCCACATGTTAGCCAGCTGGAAGTTGTGATGTTTCCTACTCTAAGTGCGTCTGCCAATCAGTGTCTTGATTTTACAAGAACAGATTCAGATTATCTTTGGGTTTCTGGGATGTTCATGTGAATTCCTTGGAGGCTTAAAAGAGGTGAATTTTTTTGAGTATCAGTGCTTTTGGTTGCAACTTTTTTCTGTTGTGAGGAGCTCTGGGGAGAAGTGTAGTGTGACATGTCTAGTCTTTCACCAAGGTAGAAGACCTTTGGTATTGATTTACCTGTTAAAAGAAGAACATAACCATCTCTTTGAAGGCCTTATAAGTAAACAGCATGAATGTGGAAACTTGCTGTTCATCTCTGTTCCTAGGTGATAAAACATTTTGCTCTAGTGATTAATGCTGGTGCTATTAGCTCACTTCAGTAGATGTGTTTTTTGATTTTTTGATGATGCCAACATGAAGCAAATGATGGAGGCAGTTGCTGTTGCAGATGAACAGAAGACTGAGTCACAAGGTTTCATCTTTTACTCCTTAATATTCATTGTACCTCCCTTTTCCTTTTAGGGAAGGGAAACACATCTCCAGAGTCAAACCTCACCATTTGATAGAACCAGTTTGTAGCACCAAAAGTTTGTCTTGCACAGTTCTGCCTTTAGCATGCAAAGGAAGAAGACATTCTGGGGAAGTATTGAAATTGCAGCTAATGAATCAAGCAGCACAAACAATATAATTGCTTTCAGCACTTTGCTCTTTTTCCACTTCTGCTGCTTTACCATTCTCTTACTGGGAATTGCTTACTGTATTTCAGCAAACTGTTTTGTTGATGATTAGTCTTTTCTGAAAGCCTACAATAATCTCAGTTTTAGGCCTTACTTAGAAGCAGGTTTATTTTTGGCACACAATTTTGGCTGGTGCCCACTTGTATCAATTTTTGGTTTTCTGTCTTGGGTTACAACAAAAGAGAGCAATTAAAAATAAATGTAGGAGCTGGCAATTAATGATTGCTGAACAAGTTGTTTCGCCAGTGATACAAATGTTAAATTCTTGCTAAATGTTGTGTCTTTGGAAGGGGAAAAGTGAAGAAAAGCCTTCAAAAAAGAAAAGAAAAACGTGTTTTACACAGTTGGAGGCAATATTGGCAGCTTCACAGCTGCACTGTTGATGTTGCTGCAAATACCGTTTTGGCATTTGCTAAATATGGCAAGAAAACTTGGATTTTCGAAAGTGAATTTTCACTCTGATCATGATTTAAATCACTTGTCTTTGTTTTTTTCCCCATAAAAAGGCAAGATTTTCTGATGCTCGTAATTAACAAAAGAGCTGAACTTGACACTTCCCATTAAAGCTTCTCTGAAGTTTGAGCTCTATAAACCTTTAACTTTCTATGTTCCCCTGGACTACAAATGAGCAGTTATATTGCATTTTAAGTTGAGACAAGATTTTTGAGTATATAGAACAATCATTTATAAAGCTTCCTGTGAGGCCAGGTGACTTCATTTTGTTTTTGTACAGTTCTGTTATTTTTTTCAGGGTGCATTCTAGTACAACTCATGTTGTAGCAAAGAGAAGGTTAGAAAGTAAAATTATATTTTATCTTGTAACTATTGATAGCTATACCAAGGTAAGTGTGATCTAGAGAAGAAAAAAATACTGGACTTTTTGTTTTGTTTTAACAAAACTTTTTTGTTTTGTTTTGTTTGCAACAAAACCAGTATTTTACTTATGGCTGTGGTTGATATTCTTTTGTCTGTATTATGAAAAATGTAGTTCCAACTTAATTAGCAATGAGTTTCTAAAGTACAAACTGCTACTTTGTAGTATAAATATTTTGATTCTGCAAATGTTTCTCAGTGTTTTGCATGCCTTTGGCAGAAGGGCAAGCAGTCTTACAAGAAGGTATTTTTAGCTGTCTCTAAGACAATTGTTTTGTATTCTCTGAAGCTTGCAATAATCTGCAGCGTTAACTTTTGCTCTTTGTCTTTTCCTTGCTTCTCTTAGAAACAAATTCTTTGCTTTTGACTTGGCACTTTGCTACTGCTTTAAATACTCAGCCCAAACAGCCTGGTGGATGAGCTCTAGGGAAAGGATTTTAAAAAGGCCTTAAGCAAGCTAGCTGCCTTTTGGAAAAACATGAGCTGTAATCAAATCTGCCTCTGAGTAAACAGTTTGCCTCTGGAAGCATCCCAACCTTAGATAGCCCTCAGACAGTACAGACCTTTGCTGTGAAGAGGTTATGTGATCTGATGCTCTCAGGATTATTACTGTTGGCTATGGAAGGACTGAAATAGTTTCATTCTAGTAAGGCCTATATTTTTCTTACCAAAATGTTGATTCTATTCTGCTATTTAGCTTTTAGAAATTCTGTATATTTAATAAAATCGGAGAGCCTTCAGTATCCAGTAGGCTTTGTTTATAAGGGAAAGGTATCTTCTGGATTCATGTGAACAAAAATAACACCAAAATCAAGATTTGCACTTCTCCAATACTGTCAGTAAATTAGTTTTTTACAGAAACAGCTTTTGATGTTTTTTTCTCTGCATGACTTTACACATAATTAAATTGGGTTAAATTTAGTTGTAAATACTGTCCCAAGCCACTCAGCTGACCTTATGTTAAGCAAGTAAAAGCAATTGAAGCCCGGCCATGAATTCAAGTTCCCCTGAAGCCAACTGTCCTAGGCAAAGAAGGAAGAAGCTTTAATTTTCCCATTTTAAGGACCCCTGCTCCATAAGACTGAATACAAGATGATCTCCCATTTCCCAAACTGATACGCCTATAGACTACCATTGCTGCTAGAACAACCAGGCAGATGAACTTGGAAAAGAATTTATTTGAGAAGTCTGTCTATAAAAACAGATGAAATGAACTTTCTGTACAAAAGGTGAATGATACTGCAGCAGTTTTTTGTATGTAGCAAAGAAACCTTACAGACAGAGGAAAGAATTTTGCTACAAGATTCATTATCAATACAATATTTATTGATATTTATTTATATTAATTATCAATAATAATTGATAATTATTATTAATATGGTATTGATTATTTTAGTGTATTTCATATGGTTAGAAGGTTAAGCTGTGGTCTCTAAATCTGTATGATACTTAGTAAGAATACAGTTAAAGAGATAGGAATAAATATTGCCCTTCAATATTCTCTTGCTCATTATTTCCCCTGATCCTCTTTCCTTTATATTTTCTCTCACTGGTGCCTTTGGTGTATGGAAACTTCTTTAAGAATATTCTTAAAATTGGAAATATGGAAAGCTGGAAATATGATGTCCCATTCAAGAGCAGGATTTCATTGTGCTGCACAAATTGAGTGAGGAGAGATGTGTGCTTAAGAGGCTCTGGTAAGAGCCAGTTTGTCAGTACCATGTTGCTTCGAAGATCACATTAGGTCTGTGAAATTTGGACACTGAGGAAGCAGATTTTTTTTTTCAAAAATGCTTTGACTTGAGTTGCAGGTAAGGTCACATTCAGAAATAATATTTCAGTTCTACCTGCAAAGCATGATCAGTGGGCATGACCTCATTGTGATACATCCATGCCCAGCACATGAAGCTTCTGATGGAGACTTGGAGTGCAGCAGCCAGTGGAATTGCAGGCTGTGCAAGTATGGTGCCAGATTTCATTGAAAGCATTTTGTCAAAATTAGCATGGAATGTCTCCCAGTCATTCAGGGAACTGGCTGAAGCCACAGTAATCTTGTTTCCAAGGAGCAGGCTACAGCTCCCAGTGATAAGTCACAGCCTGTGCTTTTATTACAATAAATGTGTTAGCATATGGATGACTTTAAAGTTCTGTATGGATCAGTCAAATCAACACTTAAAAGCTGGGCAGCTTTTAAGAGAAGGCAAATTTATCCTGTGTCAGTAAACATGAACATTAATATCAGGAAAAATGAGACTGTTTTGGAGCACTATAAAATTTTTGGATCTGCTCCTTTTTTGTTATAGATAACAAACCAGTGACATCTGTCCCTCTTTCAGGATAATGCCATTTTATTATATATATATATATGTTTGAAGGTTCATTTTTTTCTCCAGAGATTTGGTCATCTCCACATAGGCTCAAAGATGAGCAGTTTTTATGAAGCATTTTCCTAGAAGGACAACCATTTGTCTCTCAGCTGGGAAAAAAAGCCACAAACGCCCCCAAAAAAACCCAAAACGAAAGGTGCACAGATGGTACAGGTATTCTTGGTTTCCTCATGGTGCCTCTCAGTGTTAGCTTGTGGATTTGTGAAGATGGGCTTGCCTTCACCTCTGGTGTATCCACATTCTCCCCAGAAACGCAGTTCAGGACCTCTGCCTTTCAAAGAAATTTCATATATTGTGACTAAAAATAAGTTTGCACTGATGATGTATGGGATGTGTTGATAACTACCTTTGATATTATTTTCTTGACATTAAACTGAGTTGATTGTAAGTGACCTGCTTCATGTCTAAATTAGTTATTACTAAATCCCATATTTTTCTAGTTTTCTCTGAGAGGATAATTCCTGTTTCATAGCTATAATTTGAAAATTCATCTTTTCATTATGACTAGACATTAGTTAAATTTGAACTCTTAAGTTTTCTGGGCCAAAGGAACAATATTATGGACAGTTCTAAGGTTTCTGAGGTAGAGAAAAATCTACATGTGTTACAGATTTAAGTGCATCTGCACATCCATTTCTCTACCCATGTATTATTTCTGAAGTACTTACCAAGATATGCAGATGCTCACAGATTAGTTTGGGAGTCATCTGTGTTGTGGTTATTTCTATCTTGTTTCAATGTCTGGTTTGC